ACAAAGTAGTCGTATTACAATAATTTATTGTAACTATTGTACTATTTCTGGACTCCGCTTCATGATCGTGCGGCCAAATGACTAGGTATCACATTAACACTCGTTTTACAATATACTTACTATTACTTACTATTAATTATAAAGAAAGTGGGGATGATGGCGACCAACATGGATGTCAATGAAAAGCCTCCTGAATTAAGTGCGATTATTTTATGCAATCATTGCAAAAAATGTGCGAAGGAATGTGTATTATGTGCCAAATGTGAGGGTAAATTTCACCCAAGTTGTTTTACTCAAGCTAACTCGTTAAAAAATCCCAAGTGCGTCCATGTGGCCAGTGTTGAGGTTACCACCGAAAATAAGGTAGCTGATAGCAACCTAGCGATGGAAAACACTCTTCTTAGAAGAATTATTAAGGAACTAGAGGACAAAAATAATCTATTAGAAGAAAATATAACACTCTTAAAGGAAAAAAATAATTTTTATAGAAAATACAAAAAATCCTCAAAAGATGGCGCAGGTGAAGGTTTCAGGTAGTACAAAATTACCTTCTTTACCGTCGAAATCAACTACTAAGTTGGCAACAGTGGAAAATAGTTCATATGCATCGATAAAAAATCACCTTAATAAAGAAGAAGAAGACATTCCAGTGGTTAAAAACAGTAAACAAATCACAGATACAGTAACGAAATTCTTCAGTAAAAATATGAATCCAGGTACCTCGACACTAACTCCTGGGAAACGGTGACAAAGAAAAAATATAAACCTAAAAGACTAGGGACAGATACAAGTGGGGGAACAGGTTCGTTCTCTGGGGTTGACAGACGTCTCTGGTTATACAGGGTCCGGCAACAGAATTGAACGGTTTTAAAAATGCTGCTATGGAAATACTATTGATTTGATATATGTCAAATAGTGACAGACTTGTACCTTATTGCCGAAAGTTTCGTGGCTGCTATGGAAATACTACATGTTGATTTGATATATGTCAAATAGTTAAGGATTTCTGCATTGTTGTTTATTGTCTCTAAACATTGTGCGCAGAAATCGAGTCGATTGACTTTATCAATGGGATTTAGCCTCTGGACTGTCTGTATCTTGTACAGATGGAGTTTTAAATCCAGATGTAAAATTGTTTGCAAACTTTGGTCTGAAATGTGTAGAGCAATCGAGTGCCGAACTACAGAACGTCGTGGACTGCGCTCAAACGCTTCTCTGACTCTCCCAATATTTTCTTGTGTACGAACTGCACGAGGTCCATTGGCGAATTTTGATTTTACACTGCTTTTTTCGTTAAAATCTCTTACCCATCTCAAAATGGCATTTCTTGATGGGACTTCAGAGCGCACTGGCAAATTATATTCACGACGAAAGCGTCTCTGCGTTTGTACGAAGGACTGGGTCAGGGTAAACGAATTTACAGCAAATATCCGTTGATTAATCGGCCAGTTTGCCATTGCACACGAAACCTTCGGCAATAAGGTATAAGTCTGTCACTATTTGACATATACCAAATCAATAGTATTTCCATAGCAGCCTTTTCAAAACCGTTCTATTCTGATTCCGGACCCTGTACATAAATAGAGTTGATAATAATGCTACGTCTAATGAAATAACAAATTACATAAAAAATAAGCCAGGATTTAAAGATTTTAAAATTGAAGTAACAGAACTTGAGAAAAAATCCGATGTTAGTAAAAGCTTTGTTGTTGTTGGCCCTTTGTCCAAAAAAGATGAGATGTATGATCCTAGTTTTTGGCCTGGTAATGTGGGTATAAAGAGATTCAATTTTGAGAAGCATAGTGATTTTTTAAGCAAGGTACTTTTTTTAGGAAAACAGCACCTAATCTAGAAAATTTCTTAAATATTTGTCATGTTAACATACGATCTTTAATGTCATGGTTTTCTGACTTTACCAATTATATTATAGCACAAGATATACATTTAATAGAAATAACTGAAACATGGTTGCAGGCAGACATACCTAACAAATATGTGTATATTGATGGCTATAAACGTGTTCGTAAGGATAGAGGTTCCGGGGGTGGAGGAGTGTGCTGGTATATACATAACAATTTAGTTTCGAAACAAATAATCATGGATTTTTTAGATGACAGTAAATTGGAGCAATTATGGATTAATGTATGTATTAATAAAATTAATTATGCATTTGCCGTTGTCTACAGACCACCTGATACATTGGTTACTCTAGATGACCTGGAAAAAGCTATAAATTTAATGTATCTCGAAGCTGATTTTGTTGGAGATTTTAATATCAACATGTTGCAAAATTCCCCTATGAAAACACAACTGTTAAATATGATAGATATATACAATTTGAATCAAGTCATCGAAGAACCCACTAGAATTACAGATACATCACAAACCTTAATTGATCTAATCTGCTGTGATACTGATCATCATCTCGTGAGATGCAAGTTAAATGTTTCCATTATAAAGAAAAAACCCAAAACAATTTTCTCCAGAAATTCCAATAATATTAATATGGTAAATTTTTGTAGAGATGCATCTATTATTGATTGGAACGCAATTTACCAAATAAATGATATGAATAGCAAGGTTCAGTTCATAAACAGTGCTATTAAATCTCTGTTGGATGTATATGTTCCTCTTAAAACTTTTAAAACTAAGAAACACAGAAACCCATAAATGACACAATATTATTCAGCTGTGTTAAATTAAAAATACAGCTTACAAAAAGTATTTGCAGAGAAAATCATCAGCTCAATTTGATTACTACAGGCAAATAAGAAACTATTTGACTGGGGCACTAAGAAGAGAGAAAAAAGCATACATCCAGCACCATGTTAATTCCAATGCACATTATTCCAGAAAGTTGTGGAAAACTAAACGTTCATAAGCGAAAGAAACAATAATGTATCTCTGCCAATTTCAACTGATGCTGAGGATTTAAACAAATATTTTATTGAGTCCATACCTAGTCCTGTTTTAAATAATAATCTTTTAAATTTTTACTGTGATAATGTAAAGTCTGATTGTCTCAAGTTTTTAAATTAGTAGAGGTAAATGAGACCTAAGTTTTAAAACGTTTTAATAGCATATCAACCAATGCTGAGGGAAGTGATGGCGTAAATCTAAAAGCCTGGAAACTTTGTATACCATATTGCCTTAGTCCATTAACTTTTTTAATTAATTACTCCTTAATAAATGGAATTGTTCCCAATTAATGGAAAATTGCAAAAATTAGGCCTATTCCCAAAAATTCAGAAGGACCCACTGATCTCAGACCAATCAGCATCCTTCCCATTGCGTCAAAAATATTGGAAAAAATTGTCTACGAACAAACTGTGCAATATGCCAATAAATATATCCTACCCTTAACTCAATCTGGTTTTCGCAAATTACATAGTACTAACACAGCGCTACTAAAAATCACAAATGACTTTGTCAGGGCCATAGATAATTCTGAGATTACTCTATTGGTGCTACTTGACTACAGCAAGGCTTTTGATGTAGTTAATCATAATTTGCTTTTGGCTAAACTGTATTATTACAATTTTGATGCGATGGTGATAAACTGGTTTTGTGATTATCTCAAGAACAGAGTCCAGTATGTTGAAATAAATGGTAATGTGTCAACTCGTCGATTATTGTCTAAAGGAGTTCCGCAGGGAAGCATACTGGGTCCCTTACTTTTCTCAATTTTTACTGCTGACTTGTGTGAAGTGGTAAAACATAGTGAAGCACATCAGTATGCAGATGATACACAAATCTATAAATCAACTACTCCAGCTGCTATTAACTCTGCAGTCCTACAATTAAATGAAGATCTTCAGCAAATAAGTATGTGGTCTACCAAAAATGGTCTGCTACTCAACCAAAACAAGACTGTCAGCATTTGCATTGGCTCTAAAAATGCTCGAATGAAAGCTTTAGCGCTTAAAACTTGTGATATTTATGTTAATAACTCTGTGATACAATTTTAAAACTGTGTTAAAAACCTAGGTGTTTTAATAGACTGTGATTTAAGTTTTGAATCCCATGTCAAAAGTCTTTTAAGAAATGCCTATTTTAAGTTTAAGTCAATCTAAAATTTTAAAACATTTTTGTCGGGTGATGTTAAATGGAAGTTATGTACTAGTCTTATTCTAAGTCCTTGTAATTATTGTAGTAGTGTTTATTTTACATTTGCAACGAAAGCAACTCGGTGTTATATTCAAAAACTCCAAAACTCCTGTCTTCGATATGTATATAACATTGACTATAGGGATCACGTCAGTGAACACTATGTTAGACTTAAGATACTTAAATGTGACCACTTATTTTATAGCCAGTATGTTTTACTTGTTTACTCTATTTTTAAAACGAATGTGCCCTTATACTTGTCTAGTCTTTTAATTCAGAGGAGCCAGTGTCATAATGTTAATGTTCGTAATAAATCTTTTTTAAGTGTACCTATTCATAAAACTACTAAATTTAAAAGTAGTTTTGGATACATGGCCATGTCAATATTTAATATTTATTTTAATCTATTTAATCAATGTAATTCAGCTATATTTCTTAAGCATAAGCTTAAAAGTCACTTGTTAAATGTGCAATGTTTAAGTTTAAATTTGTAAAATTTAGTCTTAAGCTGGGTTGAAGTGTAAGAACAGTGAGAACTAAACTTCCACCTTTTGTATTTATGTATGTCACTTTAAACAATAAAGATTTTTATTATTATTATTATTATTATTATTAAATTTACTATTTTTAATATTACACAATATTTTTCCCAAATCGTTTTTTTATTAACGTAGAGAAAGTAAAACGTGTTTTGTAATTGTAAAGGAAATTATGTGCTAAACAATAAATAAAACTAACAAAGTTTAGCAAAAAATATTTTATGCTTTGGTAATAAACTCGAAATATAATTATATCTATTAAAATAGATAGTGGTTCTTTAAATAATTAGATGCAATACATTTATTGAAAAAGATATGTTTTTATTTAATATTAATTATGGTTTTACATTTTAGGCTGGACGAAAAACAAAAAGGACAAAAAGACAGGATAGTCAATTCAAAGCCGCTCTCAAAATCAACAGATTGGACCAACATAGATTTAGAAGTTCCTGACAAAGAACAAATTCATCTTCGTAATCCGAAGCTGGCTTTAATTTTTAATAATGACGAAGGTACACCAACACCCCCACCGAGAAAAAATAAAAAAGGATTTAGAGAAAAAATTGAGGCTGTCGCTAAGTCTGGCTTACAAGCTTTTCAATCAAAAAAACCCGTGGAAGAAGAATTATTTGTGAAAAAGAAAATAAATTATAGTTGTCCTTACTGTGATGGAGATGAAGCCTCGCATAACAGAGATCATAAGCATCATCATAAAAATAAAAAGCATGATATTCCGAATGAAAAAGAAATAGAAAGAATGATAGTAAACAATAATGCAATTAATAAGGACAAACAGGAAAAGGAAATAAAAAGGAAAAAGAATTTATCAGTGGTTTCTCTTCCAAATTATAATGATTTAAAATTTACTATAGCAAACTTTAATAATATTGATAAACAACAAAGTGATCGTAATTCAATAACATCACTAAGTGAGTCAAAAAAACAATCATCAACTAAACTGGATAATTATATTACACGTTGTAGAAGCTTTGGATCAATATTCCCTCAACAGATAATGGAGAAGCTAAAAACAAGCAAAAAAATTGCAGAAATAGAAAGTGATGATTCCTTTGGACCACTAGAAGACTGGGATTTAAAAATTATTGAACATTATAATCCAAAGGACGCGAGTTTACCAAGGACAAGAAAAATACCGGGAAAGAATGTATTGGCAGAACTAGAAGGTATGATAGTTCAGGAAGAAGATATTGCAAATCCAATACCTCCAGCGAGGAAAACGGAATCAATTTTAAAAAATAATAAAATGCAGACACAGACATTATCAAAAAGCTATAAAGATAATATGTCTAAAGAAAGCAATGAAAAGAGTTTAGTAAAACCCCCTTCTACACTTGAAGTTAAAAAAAGTGAAATATTACCTTCTACAAATAGACCATCAAATACAGAAGGTGCAGATGAACATTCAACCTTAATGAAGATTTTGGAGAAGTTTTCTATGAAATCCGTACTAGATGATGAAACTATTCCTCATATTGATGACGATGAAGATGATGTAAAATTAATGCAAAGCCAATATAAACAAGGCTATGTTCAAAATGGTGCTGTTTCACCTAACATACAAAATACTGTAAAAGAGATTGATATGTTTATACAATCGGAAGCTAGTAATACGGCGGCAGAACTAGGGGTTAAATATTAATTTTTAAATTTTTAATCTAATCGGTTACGTGGTGTGGAAAAAACACTAATTGAGTTTCTGTAATCGTGACAACATGTATATTCATATATATGCATTTATTAAAGACCGCTGCACAATAGCCCGGTAACGGGAATGAGAATCTAAACAGTAAAGGTGGGAGAGACTTAGCAACTACCGTCGAGTCTCTCCCACCTTTACCGTTCAGGTTTCCCTTTCCGTTCTCGTTGACGGGCTGTTGTGCAGCGGGCTTTAATAAATGAATATAATATATTCATTTTTTTTAAATTGACACCTAATAAATTCTATATTATATAAAATTTATTGGGTATAAATTTTTTCTAAAAAAAATTGTCCAAATAAATCGACGTGAAATAATCGAGCAATAAGCGAAAATAAAAATACAATTTTCTTAAAATTTCCAAAGTATTTTTCTGTAGTTAAAAAAAATTGTAAAATATATTTTTTATTTATGTTGTATATAATTTAAATACATATATAAATTAAAATTAAATTATTTAATTATAGTATACGTTTAACGTATTGATATTATATGTGTTACAATTAATAATATAGTAAACATTATTTATGGTATGCTAATGATTTTTTTAAGTTAATTTATATAATAAAATTTTAATTTGCAATAGATTTGATTTACCTACTAGATAAAGAAAATATTTTAATATACATTTTAAAACAATTTCCCATTATCAGGCGGGGTTAAGTTATAAATCTTGACCCGTATTAAGTATCTCTAATATGGGTTATTCTGTAGGTCAGAAAAGGTTGATGGAATCAGCTCACAAATCCTTTATTTTAAAATGGTAACCTGTTATTCAACATCTATGATAAGGTTTATCAGACTCAATACTTAAAAATTTAATGTAAAAAACATAATTAAAGGGGCAAGTGGATGAAGAAGTTAAGTAATAATAAAAAACAGACATGTAATATTGTGATTGTAAATAAAAATAATTTTGGTAATGCATTACTTTCATATAATTATTGCATACCAATAGTACATTATCTAACAGGCGGAGAAAGCGCTTATAAAAGTCAAGCTCAGCGTTTGCAAATCTGAGCGAGGCAGTTAATATGATTTCTCCGCCTTTTTGTATATACTATTTTTTTCAAGCGTTTAATAATTCTGTACTTACTTACATTAAAATTCATAAGTTTGCTACATTTCATCATAGGTTTGACGTTTGACATATCGTCCCCGTTCTGGCAAAAGTAATTAACTCCATTTTTGTCTAAAAGTAGTTGACTACCTTCGCGATCATAGAACAATTATATCTGTGGTCTAGAAGAACTTATTAAGTGCAGTATTGTATTTTTAGCATGCTAAAAATACAATACTGCACTTAATAAGTTTTTCTAGACCACAGATATAATCGTTCTATGATCGCGAAGGTAGTCAACTACTTTTAGACAAAAATGGAGTTAATGACTTTTGCCAGAACGGGGACGATATGTAATATTAAATTTTTCTGTTTAAATTTATTCTACAGTGACCTGTAATTTTTAGTTATCTACACTGATTTTGAGCTAAATACGATAGATGGAACCACTCCCTCTATGTAATGTCAATGCATTTTTATTATTGTACGGAGAGTCAAAATATTATACATATATTATTATATATGGGTCATTTCACGTCAAATTTACCGTCAAAATTTAAATTTGTCTGAAATATTTTTTTTTTCGTTTACGACACCAAAAAAAGTGACACGTATTTTTTTGTTTCAAAATTTTATGAATTTTGTTAAAGTTACGATTTTTTTAAATTTCAGTACCAGAAAAAAAGAATTTTAAATATTAGTTTTTGAATAGAATAAGATTTAATAAACTTTAATTTTTTTTGACTTAATTTTAAGGTTATGCATTGTTTTAAATATTTAAATTTAAAAAAAATATTTTTTTTTTAATTCAATTTTTTTAAGCAAATTTTAAAAATTAATAAAAAAAAATTAAAATCGACATTTTTTTTTTAAATTTTTAAAATTTGTATTAACTTGTCAAAGTTTGCAGAACATTGTATAAAAATTTTAGAATGGACCGTTTAATATCGTATGAAATATTAATAATTTTATATATCCGCGTTCTTAAAATAAAAGCTGTTACAGAGACATATTTAGGATATCGCAAAATATTGACGATTAACATTCAAAATTACGAACAGAAATTTGAAATTTTACCACTTTATATTTTTTAATGCAATATTAATAAAAATTTACATTCGTTAAAATGGTTAAAGTGATAAGCTAATAATTAAAACTTTATTTATTTTCTTTGGGGGCAGGAGTAAAACACAAGCCTATAAAGCAAATTTCATAAAATACCTGGAACGGCGCGCCGATACATTTAATGTATCCATTATTAGTAAAATAAAAAACAATTGGAAAAAGTGTGGCCTGGTTGTTATTCCAGTGATAACCTGGAACGGCGCGCCGTTCCAGGTATTTTATGAAATTGGCTTTATAGGCTTGTGTTTTACTCCTGCCCCCAAAGAAAATAAATAAAGTTTTAATTATTAGCTTATCACCAAGTTTTTATGGCTAATTTAACCATAAAAACTTGGTCATAATTTCTGATTACAAAAAACATGATTCCATAGCAGTGTACGTTTTTTGCGAGCTTTTAATAATTTTATTTCTAGCTTTTACCCACAAATACGTAATTGTATTTACTTTTCTGATGGAGCACCACAACAATTTAAAAACGTTAAATATTTTTCAACAATTTATAATCATAAGCGAGACTTTGGTCGCTCTGCAACTTGGCATTATCAAGCCACAGCCCACGGAAAAGGTCCTTGTGACGGAGCTCGAGGAACCTTGAAAAGGCAAGCACGAAAGGCTAGCCTTCAGGGCAATAATATAACAACAGCCCTTAAGTTTTATCATTGGGCTTTAAAGGATTCTTCCTTGAGCAATATATCCGTCATTTATACTAGTGAAAAGGACTATGAAGCCGCAGAACTTAAAAAAAAACGTTTTAGATTGTGTCAAACCATTACGGGAACACAAAAAATACATTCCATTGAACCGGCGGACAATAAATTTTTAAAAATAAAATATTATAATAGCAAGTAATTTGTGTTGGAAAATAATAATAATAATAATAATAATGTGAGTTTAATTTTTATATGATTTTTTTTTATTTTGGAGTAAATTGCATCTCCTGAATAAAAAAATGTAAAATTTTGTCAAATTAAAATTGTTTGCACCCATTTTTTTAACACATGAAATATCGATGTGCAACTAACCATGAATTAACACACTGTTGTACATTTGTTTAAATTATTAATCAGTTTTTAATGGTAAAAAAAATATTAAAAATTACAACCTTGATTCAATTTTAATTCTAAAATACATATAATATAATCCAATATAATCTAACTCATCCCTAAATGTAATTTTAATAGCCCATCGTGCTTTATCTTAAATATGCCTCTGTAACAGCCTTCATTTTAAGAGCGCGGATATCTAAAATTATTAATATTTCATACGATATTAAACGGTCCATTCTGAAATTTTTATACAATGTTCTGCAAACTTTGACAAGTTAATACACATTTTAAAAATTTAAAAAAAAAATGTCGATTTTCATTTTTTTTTATTAACTTTTAAAATTTGCTTAAAAAAATTGAATTAAAAAAAATATTATTTTTTTTTAAATTAAATATTTAAAACAATGCATAACCTTAAAATTAAGCCAAAAAAAATTAAAGTTTATTAAATCTTATTCTATTCAAAAACTACTGTTTAAAATTCTTTTTTTCTTGTACTGAAATTAAAAAAAAATCGTAACTTTAACATAATTTATAAAATTTTGAAACAAAAAAATACGTGTCACTTTTTTTGGTGTCGTAAACGAAAAAAAAAATATTTCAGGCAAATTTAAATTTTGTCGGTAAATTTGACGTGAAATGACCCATATATAATATTTTGACTTTTGAACTGCGTACAAAAAGACAGTTTTTCTATATAGGTTTATGAGTGTATAATATGAAAATTGTTATACGCTTGAAAAAAATATTATTTTTATATTTTATTATTAAAAATGTTGGGTAGTTAACCCCTTCATCCACTTGCCCCTTCAATTAGTAATTTTAGAGGCCATACAAATTATGTATCTTCTGTATAGTGAATTCCTAAAAACTGGCTTGTTCAAAAGGTTACAAATTGCCAAAAATTAATCGACACAATGTGTCCTAATAAAAAAATGGCAAATTTTCACTTTAGCGACTTTTCCGAAAAACGGCAGGAAAGTTGCCAAAATGCAAAAAATAGGTTTGGAGGGATGTAAAAGTGCATAAACAATCGGCGCAGGGTGAAAAAGTTGTATACTTATCTCGTAATTAATAAAAATATGATAATTAAAGTGACTTACCGTAAAGCAGTACCTATAGCACAAATATAGTCTACAGACCATGCTTCACAAAGGCTTTCGATCCCGCACATGCGCTTTGGTTTATGAGCTGATCTACTGTCAATCAACTAAAATGGGCAAAAGTGAGCAAAACCAACCCAAACCAACCGACCCCGCTCTACCCTCCCCTCGCCCCATTGAGCAATAGAGGTATAATATATGTAAGGGTAGATACATTTTATAAATTTTGAACATTAAATAATTTATATTTATTTATATTATAGGTCATTTTTGACTCATTCATTTTAAGAGTACGATTATCAATTTTTGGACGCTTATATTTATTCTTCCTATGTACGAAATATGCCGACATGTATTTATGGGCTTAAGGTTATTGGAAGCTAAAATGATATATGAAGAATGAGAAGAGTAACGTACATCCGTATAGATTTTCACGTGCTTCTTAATGTGTTTCCTCCAAAGATAGAATTTTAAATTTTAAAATGGCATAACAACATACCTTTTTGTAGTTTAGTTTTTATAGAACACAAAGCTGGATTTTCAAACTGGCACCAATTTGGATCCTTTAACGTGTGTCACTCTACACAGAATTTGATTAGAGCTAGCCT